TTTTTTTCGTCACGCTGTGATGACGTCAAATGCGCGCTTTCGTCGATCGCGCTTTTGTGGACCGCGGTTTTGATGGGTCACGATCGGCGCATACCAGAAGGGCGAAGTAATTCCTCTGAAAATCTCAAACTAGCTAAGCGCCAGACCTCACTGTAACAGCATTGCCAAAAAGGCATTAAGAGTTGTTAACCTAATCTTCCGAAGCTTCTTCTCCGGTAACATTGTACTGCAAACTAGGACATACAAAACCTTTGCCAGACCAATCCTCGAATACAGCTCGTCTGCCTGGAATCCACACAGTATATCGGACATTAATACAATCGGGCGAGTCCAGAGGTATTTCACGAGAAGAGTCCTCCACTCCTCTGTTCCCAATAGAATCTCTTATGCCACCAAGCTTGAAATTTTGGGCTTGGACAACCTGGAACTACGCCGATTAAGGTCTGCCCTAAGTGTAGTACACAAAATTGTCTGGTACAACGTGCTACCTGTCGACGACTACTTCAGCTTCAACCTCGATAATACATGGGCAAACAATAGATACAAGCTCAAGATAAAACGCTCCCAACTCGATTGCAGAAAATACGACTTCAGCAACAGAGTGGTCAACGCCTGGAATGCTCTACCCGACTCTGTTGTTACATCCTCAAACCTCCATAACTCCAACCTTAAACTGTCTACCGTCGACCTCACCCCATTCCTAAGAGGTCTGTAAGAGGGCGTGCATAAGCGCACCAGCGTGCATAACGTCCCTGTCCTATTGTCCCCATTTATTCGTGCCCATTTCCTTTGTTCGTGTCCATGTTTATACTTATACCTGTTATCACGTACATGGCTAGGAATCCTGCTCAGCTGGATTGTACCATTCCCCCGTGTGGATTTCACGGGTGTCTCAATATTTAGACAGCCCCTCATTCTCACCCTTGGTTGTTTCCCTTGAGCCAATTACTTCCTTTCCACCCTTTACTGGAAGCTATTAAGCAACGGCCTTTCCAACTCTTGGTTTCGATCCAGCTGCTAATCTGGGTTTCACCTAGCCAGAAAGGGGATGCCCTGAAAGTCTTCCCCACCATTGTTCTCAGGCTCCCCGAGAGCATGAAGCAATCTCCTTGTCCGGAGGGGGGGAAAAAACTTTTATTCATTGACTGTGAATTCTGCTCATTCACATCCAGCAAAGTCTTTCAAGGGAGGATTTACAATCAAAGACCTTCTCTGGCTTGGAGAGCTGCCAGGCTGTTAGCTGCAGAACTTGGCAAGGACCCTCGAAGAGTCACGAACCAATTAAGCGAACTAATTGTCTCTTGCAAACTCCACTCCCCTTGGGCTCCTCTTTTATTTCCTCTGGGAGAGGCCATACATCATCCACCTGTGGCTTTCCTCCCAAGTCGACCCCTGTTCTTTAGCTGTTCCCTTCATCTGGCAACTCTGTGCATGCGCATACGGGGAACAGGCTCCAGCTGTCCTTCTGCCTTACCAATGTCTGACTCTGAAGGCAGCTGATCACTGGCATACGGCTCTGGCCCCCTCTCTGCCTCCGACAGAGAGCCCTCATCAGATCCGTCCCCAGCTTCCAGGACTGGCCCATGTTCCTCACCAACCTCCTCACTGTCTGAATCTGCTGCCAGCTCCGCTGGTGGGCCACAGCAACCATTTTTAAAGCTTCTGCAATCGCAATCCTCCTTTCCCTGACACCTCTTGGTTTCCTCTTGCAAAGCTAGCTCCCTTAATTTCAGAGTCGGGTGGTGGTTAACCGCAGGAGCAGACTGAGAACAAAGAGCTGCAGGGCAGGAAGCTGGGTGCAGAAGAGAAGTCATGCAGGGATG